TGTTGAGTTCGTAGGTGTTCAGAATGGTTTGATCCCTATCCAGCTGAATTCCTGGGACCAGACGAAATCCAGGTCTCCTACTCCTCTGCCATCTTGCTCCTCCTCCTCTGAGATCAATTCTTACAAGAGGGATTGCTACATCGAAGGATGGCTGCGTTTAAAATTTTTATATCATCACATTGTCCCCTAAAAATGCAGTGCCAAGAGACACTGTGACCCGCAGGGTAGGTAAGTGCCTACTCCACACATCACTCGAGGCTCTGCTATTATCTTCCAGGCTGATGGCCAGAAGGTATTTTCTGGTACATCGCTTACTTCCTTGACTGTTTGAGAGGCTGGGTACCCCTTCATCCAGCTATTGGCACTTACATGCATTTGGTCCATTTTAAATCAAATGATTTCTTTTTTTTACTGTATGTGATGGATGATAAGCCTGTGTAGTTTGTTACCTGTCGTCGAACCGTTGTCTACAAAACCTTCCCTCTTAAGAAGAGTTTCATCTTTTATCTGATCAAACCCACTATGGCTACCTTTTAGCTGAGTTTTAGGTTCCTCTTACAAAGGTCTCAAATTTTTAGAATAAAATTGTTTTGTATTTCATTCTGATAGATGGCTTTAAATGTGTAGTGCTTTAATCTATGTGGAATTTCTTTTTTGTTTGTTTACCTTTTGTTATAGAAAACCTCAAGCATACCCATTTATTTAGAAGCAAATACCACACATGCCATTTTATCTGTAAAAGTTTAAGGTGTTATTTCCACAAGATGATGCCTTTTTTTTTTTTTTTTTACATGCACAGCCATGTTATCATCATCACACCTGTGAAAATTCACAACAGTTGCCTTATATCATCCAGTATCCAACCAGTGGTCACATTCCCAACTGCGTTATGTCACGTTTTGTTTCAGTTAGAAGTGAGATAAAGTTTCTAAAATGCATTTGGTTGGCGTATTTCTCAAGTTGATGGCTGTCATGTTCCTCTGTTCTCTGTACGTCCTCTAAATTGGCTCTCTAAGGTAAATTTAGAGTTATCAGATACAGAGTCTCATTTTTTTGGCAAGACTACTACTTTGGCAAGGTGGGGTTCTGTTTGCATTTATTTTTATATATGGTATAAGATGAGGATCTAACAAAATATTTTTTCAAATACATGGTTAATTGCATGTTGTACCAATACCATTTATGGAATAGTTCACTCTTTCCTCCCAGTAATTTGAAATGCCACCATTCTCTCTCTCTCTCTCTCTCTCTCTCTCACACACACACACACAGTTCATTTCTGAACTCTTGTGCTCTTGATCGTTGTGTATGCCTAAGCCATAGGATTTGAAATCCTGTAGCTTTACGGTTTGTTTTCATATTTAATAAGGCAGCTCATCCTTCATTGATCTTTTTAAAGCAATTTTTGGCTTTTCTTGTGCTTATTCTCTGCCATCATAATTTACCATTTGTTTAATCCACATGTTAAGACTGGGATTCAATGACTTTGTAGACTATAATGAATCTTTCTAGCCAGGAATATGGTCTTTTCTTCTACACATTCAGAGGTTTGGGTTTTGTTTTTTTTTTTTTAATGTCTCTTAGTGCAGTTTTATGCTTTTCTTTACGTAGTTCATTACAATTTTTGTTAGGTTTATTTTTTGGTATCTTGCTATTTTTTTCCCACTATCTTTATTTCTCCATGCATTTTCCAATTGGTTATAGGTGGTACTTGGGAAAGCTGGAGTTTTTACAAGCTGATCTTACACTTGCCCGGCCACCTTGCTGAGCTCACTTTTTAGAGGTTGTAATAATTTGTTTCATGTTGATTATTCCAGATTTCCTGGTTGGCAGTGATATCATCTGCAACTGGTTTCTTTTCAGGCTCATGCAGAGTCAAGTAAAACCTGGCTGACGGGAAAATTCACTGAACTCCGACTACTACTTGATGAAGAGGAAATGCTGGCCAAGAAATTCATTGATAAAAACACACAGCTAACCCTCCAGGCGTACAGGGAGCAAATTGAATCTTGCAAAGAGCAAATAGATGGCATGCACAGTCTCTCCAACAGGGTCTGGAGTATCAGCCAGGAGCCCGATCCCATACTGCTGTTGCAGGTAATGCTGGGCTCCTGTCCTCACAGCGGACCCCTGCTCTCCGCTGTGCCCCGCCCCCGGCATTTCATCTCAGTTACTGTGGCATTGAACACAGGGTTTATGCACTGAGTGAATACACAGAGAATTGCCTTGTCAGCATGCAGGCTTTCTTGCCCCCACAAAAGTGGTAAGGAAATAGGCATTGTTAGCAAGAGCATATACATCTTAGACTAATGACATAAAATTAACAGCCACCATTTTGGGTGGAGGGGGGGGCTCTATGTTCCAAGCACTTTATGCTCTCATATTTACTAAAACTCTGCAAAGTGGATGTTCTCATGCCATTTTATGAATAAGCAGTTGAGGCCCAGGGAGGGTGAAGTGACTCGTCCGAGGTCACAAAGCTAATAGGCGGCAGAGCTGTGATCAGAACCCAGGTCGGCCTGACTCCAGAGCCACCGGCACAGCTGCCCGGCCCTCTGCCTGGGCACTCTTACTTGAGACCCCCTCCTGGAAAGGCAGGGGTCCTTCCAGCTACCGAGCAGGTTCCAAGAGGTGACTCACACTTTGCTCAAAGGGGAGAGAAGGATGGTACTCTTTGGCCACTGGGCTCTGTTGGAGGCTATGACCTTATACCGAGGGAGCATCTAGGAAATAGCCCTTGTGATTCATTACTATATTAGTGAACACATGTTGTTGAGAGTGGTGTTCCTGTTCCCAAGTAACCACAGGAGAAACTCCCCTCGTGCTGATCCTCCTGCTTGGCCCCCTGTGCACTGGGACGGCCTTCCTACTCACATAACCCTCCCGTTTCCTTCTTCGCCCTGGCTTCTGGCAGCCTAAGAGCTACACAGGTTTCAAATGGCTTGGCGGGGACTTGGCGGCGTACGCTGCTCCTCCTCGCACTCTGGCTTCCCGCTTACTTTCTTATCTTGGTGTTCTCTTGGCTTAAGTTTTCTCGCTATAGAGGAAAATCTTGCTGTGTTAGATAACCTTTGTAAGATGCTTTACAGGCTTGTGGGACAAGTAAATGTGTCACTGAGTCTAATCACCGATTAGGCTTTGGCTGGAAAATAAGACTGACAAATAAATCAGGCAGTACCAGACCAGTTAAGCCAGTCCGCGGCAGATATTCCTAGGCTTGTGCGTGTGTGTGGCCTTAGTCAGTTCAGCCTGTGTGTCTCTTTGTTAGCTAACAAAAGAATACATCTAACAAACGATTCCGGGTGAGGTGCTTTCCTAGGCACATTGGATATTGTACTTTGAGAGGAGCAAGGTGCACAGAGGGGTACATTTGTTTGTTTCTTTCAAAATAATGGTACTTGGTAGGGATATCTAATACAAAGGGATGCTTCCATGGAGAAGAATGTTTTTCTTGTATCATAGATACAGTTTCAGGGCTTTATCATCTTTTTTCTTTATTCTTTGGTGCCAGAGCTACTGATGTTCATCATTCATCATTCCTCCCTTTGTTTTTTCTTTTTTTTTTAAAGATTTTTCGGACGCCTGGGTGGCTCAGTCGGTTAAGTGTCTGCCTTCGGCTCAGGTCATGATCCCAGGGTCCTGGGATCGAGTCCCGCATCGGGCTCCCTGCTCGGCGGAGAGCCTGCTTCTCTCTCTCCCACTCCCCCTGCTTGTGCTCTTTCTCTCTCTCTGACAAATAAATAAAATCTTAAAAAAAAAAAAGGATTTTATTTATTTTGACAGAGAGAGACACAGCGAGAGAGGGATGCGGGGCTCGATCCCAGGACCCTGGGATCATGACCTGAGCCGAAGGCAGCCACTTAACGACTGAGCCACCCGGGTGCCCCATCATTCCTCCCTATTTGCTCACTCATGTATTCTTCAAATATATACTGAGCAACTTGTTCGTGCCAGGCCCCTGTTTGACACTGAGAGCTTGAGGGTGGGGAGACATGCTCAGAAATAGTTATTTACAACACAGCCCAAGTGAGCGAGCAAAAGTATGTCTACGAAATGTTCAGTTCTGCATGGCAGGGGGTGGATCAGAAAAGACTTTTAAGGGGAGGTGACCGTGGAGCTGGGTGTGGGAGCATGAGGAGCTCACCAGGGATATACAGAGGGACAGAGCAGAGAGGACATCCCAGGCAGAAAGGAATCATGTGCACATGAGGGCCTGGCAGGCTGGAGAACCGCTAGGGTTTAGCCTGGCTGGAGGCAGGGCAGGGGTACAAGGGAGGAGGGTGTGTTGGGAGATGCAGCTGGATCCGGAAACCAGGGCTAGTTAGCGGAGGGCCATATGTGCCTGGCCATGGGTTTAGACTGTCCTGTAAAGATTTGGGAGCCAGGGGAGCGTTTTGAATTGGGGAACAACCTGGTCGGTGTAATGCTTTTGGAAGGTCACTTTGGTGACGGGGAGGATGATGGACTGCAGAGGCCAGGGCCAGCAGACAGGCATCAGGGTGAGGAGAGGCAGGCAGGTTTGAGATGCAGCAGGATTGGTGAGTGGAAGTAGGGGGGGATCCAAGATGATGCCCAGTTTCTGGCTTGAAAAATGGGTGGCTAGGGAGCTGTTCCCTGAGTTGGCAAAGGTGAAAAACAGGTGTGCTCAAGTTCATTCCTTATTCTATTATGAACATTTACTGAGAAGCCCCTGCTGCCCCCGAGAGCTACGAGCAGCTGTCACTGCCTCCCCAGCACTCCCACACCCAGGCCTCGGATTGGAGGAGCCTGGTCACATGCCTGCACCTCGGTGCAAAGGAGGCTGGGAGAGTGAGTTTTCTAGCTTCTACTTAGCAAAGCCACACTTAACCCAGGAAGGCTATTTAAAGGGGGAGGTCCAGGCAGTAAACAGGACAGGTCCTCACGGTGGCGGGCATGTTCCCTCAGTCGGCATTCCAGCTGAATTTCCAGGGTCTTTGACTTCCCTCCTGGAACGTGGTTTCCTGCTCCCTCCTTTGGACATGCCCAGAGGGCTCTTTCCCCAGGAAAACTGGCCCATCATTCCTTTCATCCCCCTGTATGTCAGGCAGAGCCCTGTGGCAGTGTCTGGAAAGCTTCAGGGCCCCTTGCAAGGTGGTGAGCAACTTAAGGGCAGGTGCAGTCAGCCAGCCTCCTTCCTTCCTCTGCCCCCCATGCCTTGAGTAGAGCGCCAGGAACACGGAAGGAAGGGAGGGAGGGAGAAGTCAACAGTGCAGTCTCGCCAGAGCTGTTTCTGGGAGCACAGCCTGGGCTGCTCCCAGGTGCGGGGGCGGGATGGGGGCCACCCTTGCTGGCCCCGGTTTGTTCCAGGGTGCAGCGGGTGGAGCCTGGGACAGCATCCGCCGCTCCCAGAGCCACCCTGACCCCCCGCACACCCTCGCAGGAGTACAGGGCCGTGGAGCAGGAGATGCAGCAGCAGATGAGCCTGGGAGAACTGTGCTACCCAGAGCCCCTCTCGTTCGAGCCTGTCAAGAGCTTCTTTAAGGGCCTCGTGGACGCCATGCAGAGCATGTTACAGACGCCACTGGACGTTCGCCTTAAGGAGAGTAAGTTGCTGCGGGACCAACCTTGTGTCCTTAACTCCCCTAGTACCCTTTACCCAGAGACGACTGCGAAGACCTAAATCCTGTCTCTTCCACACAAAGGCCCATGGCTGGGTGGTAGAGGACTCCTGGGCCTAGGCCCTACCCACCCTTCAGACTTCACTTCCTTCCTCTTCTGAGACTCTGTCCTGCCTCTTGCAACCATCCTGCTCTGCTTCTGCCCCTAAGTTGCTCCCAGGATTCTGCTGCACGTTATCTTTGCCTGCTCTGGACTCCCAGCTGGAATAGCCAACTCCCCTCCTCCTCTCCCTCTGTCTGGCCAAGTCCCGCCATCCCTGCGGGCCCAGCCCAGCGGTGCTCACCCCAGAGGCCTTTCCACCCCACGCTGGCCCGGCTGTCCTGGCCACTGCTTCTCCCCCCTCCACACCCTGCTGCATCTCCGGCCTGGGGCTGTCCCTGAGCTGGATACAAGAGCCTCCCCCTGCCTGTCGTAAGTGCCCAAAGGGTAAGAACCACTTTGAGCCCCGCTCTGAGGTCCCTGCAGAGCCTAGCACGAAGCAGGCGCTCAGAAATACCTTTCTTCCTTCATTCATCTCCGCTCCTATGATTCCTCCAGAACGCTTACTGAGCCCCTCTTTTCTGTTAGGCACGGCAGGGTACAAAAACAAAGGTCTTGCCTTTGTGGTGCTTCGTGTTCTGGGAGCAAGACAGACAGTAACAGAATATGTCAGCAGTAAGTGCTCTGGAGAAAATTACAGCAGGGTGAGAATTCAGGGTGACCAGAAGGAGGAGCTGGATTTTTTATGGGGATGTGGAGACGGCATCTCTGAGAAGGGGACGTGCATCTGCCCCGCAGTCCACTGCCAGTAAACACTTAGGCCCTGGCTTGTCTGCCACTACGGCAGTTCCTCCCCCGGCCCCTCTGCTGTCCGTCCTGCCCCGCTGCGGGCCTGAGCCTCCAAGCAGGACCTCTGCCTCCACGCTCACCCCGCCCCATCCACTCCCCACCACAGAGAGCTTTGAAAGTTCTGCTCGTGTCTGCCTTCATGCAGACACCTTCCGTGGCTCCCCAGTTTAGGTGCCACTATGAGCACCTGCCCTTAATGCCTGTGCTCCCGCTCATACCCTCTTGCTGGGAAAGCCTTCCATCTTTCTCTGGATGTCCAAATCTTCCCTGTCCTTCAAGGGCTAGCTGAGGCGCTTCCTCCTCTATGATGTCTGCCCTGACTCCTCTCTCTTCTCTGTGACCTGGAGCACTCCGTGCCTTGGCGGGTAGCTCAGGTGAGCTCACTTCTCACCTTCTTTACCTGATGGAGCTGTGGAAGACAGGGACCATGGCTTGGGTTTCCCCTCAACTCCCTTGCACTGGAATGAGACCTGACATGACCTTTTCTGATGACCTAATTTCTCGTTTTCCATTTTACCCCGGAATCCGTATGTCTGCCAGGCGGTGGCCCCCATGCTTGACTGTTGAATACATCGTTGATTCTCCTGGTCCTCCTTGAGCCTGCTGTCCCGTCCCCGGGGTCAGGGCTCGCGCACACTGGCGTGAATTCACTTCCCACCCTCCGAAGTACACTTCTCCTTAGACCCGAGTATCGTCCTAGAGTATTCCTGTCTGTCTCGAATTCCTGAATTTGCATTTACTGCTTAAATTTGCATGCACCTCTCGGGGAGAGATGATGCGAATCTCCAGTTTTGTAATATTTTTAGTACGTTTTGTAACTTGCTGTGCTTGCGTGAGCGCCAGGCACTCATTTCTCACAATCTGTTACAGACACGAACTGCCAGCTCTCGGGCTCCACGAGCACCAAGCTAGCTTCCCTGTTGAAAACAAGCCCTTCACCAGAGCGATCACTCTTCTTAAAATGTAAGCCCCAGGGAGTGGGGAGCAAAGGGAGGGTGGAGAGGGCAGGGTGCGTGGGTAAGGGGGGGGGTCACAGAAATGGAGGTCACCCCCTTTTTTTCTTAACACACCCAACTTGGGTTTTTTCAACCTTTATTGCTAGTTTTTAAATAACAGAAATAAGGAGCACCTGGCTGGCTCAGCTGGTAGAGCACTTGACTCTTGATCTCAGGGTCGTGAGTTTGAGCCTCATGTTGGGTGTAGAGATTATTACCTAAAAGTAATAATAATAAAAAATCTTAAATACAGAAATAATACATGTTCATTGTAGAAAAACTAGGGAACAAAAACAAAAATTTTTTAAAGAAAATCACTTTCCCATAGATAACTACTATTATTGTTTGCCCTGTTAGCTTTCTTTGGTTTCTCTATACATACAAGGATATATTTAATATATATATTTTTTACAAACATGGTGTCATACTATACATGCTGTTTTGTAACCTGTTTTTATTTAGTGATATATTGTGAAAATCTTTATTCCCTTAAAAAATTACACAGGTAATGGATGCTTACAGAAAATTAGAAATTAGATATAAAAAAAAACCCAGAGAAAAATGCTATTAATATTTTGGCATACATTCTTTCAGACATTTTAAAAACATATATGTGTACAGATTTTTAAAAGTGGGATCACATATTCTTTTGTAAATTTTTTATTTAACAAACAGTATACCTTGAACAATTTATTTGAATAGATTTAAATATTATCATTATTTTTAAAGGATGCATGGTATTCCATTGATTGAATAGGCCACATTTAACCAGTCTCATAATGCTGGGCATTTAGGCTGCTTTACATTTTCATTTCTGTAAACAATGCTGCTTATAATAAATGTCCATTCTTGTACATATTTGCTGAATAAGTGAATGGATATACCTTAGCTCATTTTTAAATTATTTTATAGGAGTAATTTTTCAAAGTGGAACTACTGGGCATGTGCCTTTTAAAGTAAACTTGGAAATATAAAATAACATAAAAGTACAGAATCAAAGGGGTGCTGCTCATTTTTTTAAAGATTTTATCTTTTTAGAAAGAGAGTGAGAACAGAGGCGGGGAGGGGGAGCAGCAGAGGGGAAGGGAGAGGAAGAGGGAGGGAATCTCCAGCAGACTCTGCACCAAGCATAGAGCCCAGTGCAGGGCTCGATCTCAACGACCCTGAGATCATGGCCTGAGCCAAAACCAAGAGCTGGACGCTTAACCATCTGAGCCACTCAGGCGCCCCATTTTTTAAAAGTGAACACAGTCTATAACCTCCTCCAGACCAAGAAATGGAAATTTCCAGCTCCCCAGAAGCCTTCCTCATTCAGCCTCCTATTCACTACTCCCCCAAGGGTAACTGCTGTCCCGATTTCTGACACTGTAGATTAGTTTTGCCTGTCTTTGGCCTTTATATGACTAGATCATTCAGATTGTACTTTTTTGTGTCTTGCTTCTGTCACTTAACATAATATTTGGGAGATTTATCCGTATTATTGTGCATAGAAGTAGTTTTCACTGCTGTATATAGTATCCCATTGTATGAATATAGCACACGTTATACTATTGAAGGACATTTTGGATTGTTTCCGGTTTGGCCTGTAGTGAATGATGTTGCTATGAACATTCCTGTGCATGTCTTTTTGATGCACATATGCATGCATTTCTGTTGAGTATTTACCCAGAAGTGGGAGAAAAGGATGCCTACCATAACCCTATTTCTGGATGTCCTATACAGTGCCTTGAGGTAAGAAAAAGAAATGAAAGCTGTAAGGATGAGAAAGGGGGGGGCAATAAACAATTAGAAAATGAAGTTTTAAAAACATTATTTTCAGTGACATTTTTAAAAAATCAGGAATAAATCTTAACAAAAGATGTGCAAAACCTTGCTACAGGAAACTCCACAAATGATTCTACAGTATCGACTAAAGCAGAACATCCATATCCCCTACCATCCAGACTTTGTTTTTCGTGCCTACAGATGTGGTTTAATGCAGTAAGAACAATTATTGGGAGTTAAGTCAGCACATTTCTGGGATACAAGTTGGCAATATTCACCAAAGGCCTTAAAAGCAAAATTATCCATCTTGATCCAGCAATTCCTCTTTTAGGAATGTATCCTCAAGCAGTAATCCGATGCATAAAGAGGTAATTATATTTGTGTTTTCAAGAGCTTTTTTAAAGCCTAAATAAATACTGGACGCCTGGGTGGCTCAGTTGGTTAAGCGTCTGCCCTTGGCTCAGGTCATGATCCCAGGGTCCTGGGGTAAAGCCCCACCTAGGGCTTCTCTGCTCAGTGGGGAGCCTGCTTCTCCCTCTGCCTGCCACTTCCCCTGATTGTGCTCTCTCTGACAAATAGATGAATACAATCTTTAAAAAAAAATAAAGCCTAAATACTGAGAAGGGGGAGGGACAGGTTAAAGTATAATACACCCAACACATCAAAATCTTAGGGTCACCATTAAAATGCTCTGATAAAAGAATATTATTTGATAGGGGAAAATGTTCATAAATACATCAACAAATTTTAAAAACCAGATTACCCAAAAGCGTGTATGGCATGATACCAATAAGAAAAACTATAAAGTGGCAAGATAAAAACTGGAAGAGTATACACCAAGCGTTAATAGGGACAGGATTTAATTTTTTTTAGAAATTGGCAACAAATTCCATGGCACAAAATTCAGTGAAATTTTCACTCCTTCCCATGTCCCACTGCCACCTCCTTGGAGGCAATCAGGGTTAAAGGGTGGCGTTTCGTTTATCCATTGGCGACTCCGGGTGTCTGCTTCCTACGGTGAGGTTGTGGGGACGTGGTCGCGGGGGAGGGGGGGGGGGGGGGGCAGGGGCCCCACCCGGTTCCGGGGCGCCCCGCTGGCCCCGCCCACCAGGTGTGCCCCTCCCCCCGTAGATGCGCGCACACCCACCCTGGAGCCAGACACGATGCACGCGCGCCTGCGCCTCTCTGCGGACCGCCTGACGGTGCGCTGCAGCCTCATGGGCCGCCTGGGACCCACACCCGCGCTGCGCTTTGACAAGCTGTGGCAGGTGCTGGGTCGCGACTGCTACGCCGCCGGCCGCCACTACTGGGAAGTGGATGTGCAGGAGGCAGGCGTCGGCTGGTGGGTGGGGGCCGCCTACGCGTCCCTGCGGCGCTGCGGGGCCTCAGCCGCCGCCCGCCTCGGCTGCAACCGTCAGTCCTGGTGCCTCAAGCGCTACGACCTGGAGTACTGGGCCTTCCACGACGGCCAGCGCAGCCGCCTGCGGCCCCACGACGACCCCGACCGTCTCGGGGTCTTCTTGGATTATGAGGCCGGCGTCCTCTCCTTCTACAACGTGTCGGGCGGCATGAGCCACCTGCACACCTTCCGGGCCGCCTTCCAGGAGCCGCTCTATCCGGCCCTGCGGCTCTGGGAAGGGGCCATCAGCATCTCCCGGCTGCCCTAGGGGCCGAGACCGGAGTGACCGCCCTAGGCCCTCCACTGGTCTGGTCTCACCCGACCCGATGTGGCTGGGCTACTGCCAGCTCCCAAGCACCCCCATCTCCCCCACTAGTCCTGCCCGGTGCTTTGAAAGGGCTCCTCTCTTTGGCTAGTTTCAAACATGCCCTAAACACAGGTCCTCTACCGGGTCTCTGTCATCGGACCTCTCCACCACCACCAGCGCACTGCCACTACACTGCTTTTAGTCCAGGTGCTACCCACAAGTGAACCCTGAGCATCCTGACCATGTCAGAATAGGTTCTCCTCAGCCTCAGGCCTCTCCCTCCTAGAGCAGTCTGCAATGCCTGGCACTTAGTGGGCGCACAATAAATATGAGAGGCACCCAGCCCTTTCCCCCTAATGTCCCTTTGACCTGCCTCCTCCTCTCCACTCTGCTCCAGCTTGTCCATGTCGCTTTTCAAAGCAGCCACAAGAGCATCTTAACACCTCGGGGCCTGAACCCTCTCCCATTCTCATCCTCCACTGTACGGCCAGATTGCTGTGCCTAAAACCTCATTTAACCTCTTAGAACTACCAAGAGGTTCCCAAGGACCTCAGGGAGAAAAAAGCTGGCACTTTACCTTAGCATTCAAGGCTTTTCTAGTCTGCCCCCAAACTCCTTATTCTCATCTAGCTTCTGCTCTTTTCAGAGACCCTCCAATGAGAGCCTTCGGCACCTTTGCCCGTGCCTGTCTCAGCCTTCCCCTGGCCTAACTGCCCCAGGAAGTCTTCCCAAGCCATAAGAACCTCTTACTAGGAGAGCCACACATCTAGGACCTTGCTTTCCAACTAGGTTGGAAGCTTTCCAAGGGCAGCTATGTCCTATACCCTCCCCACCCTGCAGAGGTCAGGATGTCCCTTTCCCTCCCAATGACCAGCAGCTGGCTATCATTGAATCAAAGAAGAGCTGAGCTGAGAAGTCCTCCTGAATCACCCAGCCTAACCTCACTGTACTTTTGGGGAGACTAAGGTCCTAAAAGAAAGTTCCTTAAAGTTGGGCCACGCCCCAGCCCCAAGGCAAGTGTTTTACTTGCCCCATGTCCCAGCTCTTCAGGCCCAGCTTTCAATGTGGGAGATTTTACTGCTTATTCATTCCTCAAGGGATGTTGGGAAGAAACCAGCAGGCGACTGTTGCTTAGCAACCACAGGCAGTTTTCCCAACTGTCTTGGAACTAAGAGAGGAGGAGCTAAGAGTAAGGTCTGGATGGCCCAGAGAACCCCATTTTCCATTAAGTGACAGAAAAAGAGAAGGCCAAACCAGGAGGACCTCACAGGCCAGCTCCTCTAGCAGGAAGGGGACGGCCTCTTCTGGGTCTGTGCCTCAGTTCTGAAGATTTAGCATCATTATTTGTCAGATTCCCTAGATGGTTTTGAAATCATAATGTGTTAAATTATCTTCTTAGGTGGTTGGCAAGAAGGCAGTGGTAGGGGAAGAAGATGCAAAGCTGAAACCCACTTACGGTTTCAGGGCATTCATTAATTTGAAGCACATAAAAATACCAATTTCTAATAGTTTTCTGACCTAAAAATGCCACTTTCATACAGGGCAATGTAATACAAGTGTAAACCAAGGCAGAAGGAACCTTAAAGAGTGCCTTTGGTTGTAACCAAATCACTTAAAACTCTAGCTGGACAGACAGCATAGTGTCTAAGCACACTGCTCCGGGAATCCTGAAAAAAGGGGAATTCTACCGGGGATGACCCAGAGCTGAATTCTGACAGGGCGTTCCTGACAGAAGAAGATGGATGTGCCTGACCCTACATCTCTCTTTATCCCTGCAAACAAAGACTTATTTCCAGACCCGTGGCGGTCGGGGCCAAGTAATAAGAGCACCTGCTATTTTGTCAGGCACTGTTCTAATGCTTTACAACTATTAACTCATTTGATCCTGACATCATCCCTAGGAGGTAGAAAGTTATCCCAGTTCTACATAGGGCAAAACTGAGATCCAGAATGAGTAACTTGCTCAAGGTCACAGAGCCAGTGGCGGGGTTGGGGTTGTGCTCACATCCACCAGGCCGTACTGTTCAGGCGAACACAGCTGGTCTCTGGCTGGTGCCTGCTCGCTCCTGTTTTGCCTATGATGGTTCACTTTGGCCTACTGAGTCTGCCTTTGGGTAACTTTCCTTGGGCTGAGATGAGGTCCTGCACCCAGAGAGGAACTTAAGTTTGGAGTTCACATATTAGAGACAGAGCTGAACTATACAGGACAAAAACTGGCTTTGATCCAATGCCTACTCTGTATCAAGACCTGTGCTAGCCGGAAAACGGCAGTTTCGGTACACAGTCATGTGACCTCAGGCTAGTCATTTCATTTCTCAGTCATCTGTAAAATGGGGGTAATGACCCTGCCTACTAGTGCTGGCAGGCTCAAGTGAGCCACTGGTTATGAACTTGCTTTAAAAACCATACAGTACTGGAGCGCCTGGGTGGCTCAGTTGTTAAGCGTCTGCCTTTGGCTCAGGTCATGATCCCAGGGTGCTGGGATCGAGCCCCACATCAGGCTCCCTGCTCCGCAGGAAGCCTGCTTCTCCCTCTCCCACTCCCCATGCTTGTTTTCCCTCTCTCACTGTCTCTCCCTCTGTCAAAAAATAAATAAAATCTTTAAAAAAATAAATAAATACAAAATAAAAACCATACAGTACTGTACCATGCTAGGACCCATCAGCATCCCCAGCAGACATCCTGCAGTAGCAGGAATCTCCTTCAATATTCTCAATACAGGACTAAAGTTTCCTTGGGGTCCATGACTATAAAATCACTTAATTCTCCTTCAGATTTATACTTACAGAAATTTCTTAATACAGCAAACTGCTTACAGATATTTTTTAAATAACATTAATTTTATAAACTGTGGTTTGTTTTAATAAATATGAATATATTCCTTGTAACCATGTTCTTCATTGGGAGTTCGTGTTGCTTCAAGTACACGGCACCTAGGCCTGGACAGGACCTCACTCACCTCACGTCCCCTCCACAATTTTCCTGTGGCCAGTCAGTTGGTCCCAGGTTGAAAAGTGCCAGTGATGGGGAGTTCACTACGTATGAATATAACTAAGTGCTTGCCTACATACAAACAGGCACTACCTTCTAGCTGTTCCTATCCAAGACAATACTACGTAGCTTTTGGCATCTTTGTGATCATCCTTTAGCAACATGGAAGCCATCTGTGGTCACTTACTGATTCTTAAGAGATTCCAGGACCCTTCCTTGCCTATTGCATCTCTTCTGTTTCTGCAATTCTACTTTGTCAGGGAGCAGGGGATAGTGATGTCAGCCTAGCAGAGGATACGCACACGTGGGCCTGCACAGCCTGGTCCTGGTGGGCAGGAGTCTGTACTATGAGGAGGGGACAGCCTGCCCAAGAAGCCAAGCTGCATGTGAGGTGAAGTTAGGGGTAAGCATGAGAGTGGGGGGCCAGATCTGAGTCCAGCATATCCCCAGAAGCCTTCCATGGTTCCCTACCACAGAGAGAATAAAGTCCAAACTCCGCAGGCTTTTAGGCCCTGGCTTCCTTCCTTCCTTTTTTTTTTTTTTTTAAGACTTCCTTATGTTAAAGAGAGAGCATAAGCCCAGGGGTGGGGGTAGACAAAGGGAAAGGGAGAGAGGATCTCAAGTAGACTCCACACTGAGCGCAAAGCCTGACGGGGGGGGTTCAATCTCACAATCCCAAGATCATGACCTAAACCGAAATCAAGAGTCAGCTGCTTAACCAACTCTGTCACCCAGGCACCCCCCTTGCTTCCTGACCACCTTAAAAATCCTTCGTCCCCATGGAGCCACTCCCTGCCAAACCATCACCTGCATGTCCTTGGACACTCTGGCACTTCCCAAGCCTGTGCCTCAAATCCCAAGATTCCTCCCTCTGTCACTTCTCAACCTGCAAGGCTGAACTCGAGCGGCACCATGGGGCCTTCGCTGGCCGTGCCTCCTCTCCTATCCCCAGTCCCAGGACTCCCGTCCGCGGCTCCATGACCTTTAGAAAACATCTCAGCAATTCACACATGTAGGGTACAGTTTGTAGAGGTGCCTGCACCCAACAGGCCATGAACTCTCCAACGGTACCCGTCTGTGCATCTCCCACCTGGCAGGTGGTCAAGGATGTCCTCTATACCTGAGCTTCCCAACCAGAGTGGACTGAAGGTATGTGGGATATCAATCCTGCCACCCTCACGTCAGCCAAGCGCAGCACAAGGTAGCCAGCTCCTACTGGCTGTGGGCACACTGAGTTTACCCACCCTTGTCATACACAGGCGATCATTTTCAATCACACTTCAATTCTTAGCACATCAATCTGACGCATTCTCTTTTACACATGAGTACAGCCCAGGACTCCCTCCCAACCCCACCCAGAAACTCACAAATATCAGTGCCTCAGGGCGCCTGGATGGCACAGTTGGCTAAGCATCTGACTCTTGATTTCGGCTCAGGTCATCATCTCATGGTCGTGGGATTGAACCCCGCGTCGGGCTCTGCGCTCAGCACGGTATCTGCTTGAGATTTTCTCTCTCCCTCTGCCCCTCCCACTCATGCTTTCTCTCTCTGAAATGGATCTTAAAAAAAAAAAATCAGTGCCTCTGCAGAAACTGCTTTGGGATCCACAGGGGAGGGAGACTCTACACTCACAAGTAAAGACACTTCAAAAGGCTAATTAATTCTATACATCTGAAAAGAGACTCAAGTATATGCTTTGAAACAAGGCACGATAGTGAACAAGGTCAGATAAATATGAATTCCTATAAATAGGAATCTGGAAGTGTATCTGAGAAGAATCATTCATCTCAGTCTTGGTTCAGAAGAACGGAGGGGAGTCTGATACTGACTTTCTGTGAAAGGCTCACACTGCTCTTCCACAAAGGAAAACACTGCAGATCTTTCTTGTTAGCTGGGTTTGTAATTTCATTATGAGCAGGGAAGGGCTGTTTTCAGCATTACCACCATATTTAAAGGTCACCACCAGCTAC